AGGTGACAACAACGTTAGACATACGACGGGTGTGTGCGCCGTCAAGAGCAGTGACTGCAGAGTGCGCGCAGAAGTGCGTAGCACCCAGAGCTCCGCACGTAAAGCCAGTAGGATGAGTGAATACTCCAGTTATGAAATGAAAGGAAACTGATTACGTGAATGTCGAAACTCGGATCCCTGCGGGTTTCCCGATAGTCCAGAAAATCTAGACATTCATGTATCTGGATCCCAAAACCACAAGAAGAAAATGAGTCTCTTTGGATCAGACATATACGTATGCGTAAAAACAACTTTCCAGAGTCTAAGTTATTTATTACCGATAAAGAACACGCGTGCTGTTCATCAATGCCGGGAAGTGACTAATGTCTGACGAGTTTGGCGACCGACGCGTTTTCTTCCATGGACGATTCATTTTCTGCTTCACCGTGATTCGTTTCGATTACTTTACAAAACCTAATATGACACAGTTTCGCTGGTGACTACCTTCGATAGACAGGATTTCTTCATTCACATGACTGAAGATCAATATTCACTTCACTGGGTTTGGTTGTTCCATAGCCCACATGTACGCATTAAAAGACGAGCACACCCCACCGGTTTCCATTGAATCAGTGCCTATGTACTCACCAGGATGTAAAATGTGCCAGTGTGGTTTACCATTAATGGTTCGAGTACATGTATTGACACTCATCTGAGCTGAGGACAACTTATATTACCGGTAAAAGCCGTTACGGAAGAAGCAACCATATCAGTAAGGTCACTAGGGAAGTCCAACTCATTTCCCGATAAAGAATACAAACACAAAAATATAACACAATGAGAAAAACCTTCAACGAATGCTCCCCGCCTCATGAAGGTTTATTTGGCATATAGCCTCCTAAAGATACGCGCTGTAACACATTTTTGTCCAGTAGCGCACGAACTTTCAAACCACATCCCACGGAAGAAATTCACATCTTCAGCTCTTAAATTGACTGAAAAGGCTATCCTCAAACGCCTCCAGCAGTCTATAAACATTCAGTGATCAGTTACAGTTTGCTTACAAGCCAAATAGATCGACCTTGGATGCAGTCTCCACCCTCATTCATCATTATCACTAAATCTTTGAACAGCTCTGTTAGGTCTCTTTGGTGTGTTTTTCTCGACTACTCTTCTGCATTTGATTCCATTCCTCGATCTAAGCTGTTACAAAAACTGGAGTCGTTTGAATGCCCCACGCAGCTGTTAGCTTGGCTATCCAACTATTTTACCGATAGAGTACAAACCACTAGATTGGGGAAGGCCACATCGAAACCCTCAGTCAACAACTCTGAGGTCCTTCAAGGGGCTGTGCTA